AGCGTCTGATTTTATTTGCACGGCTGTTGTTATAAGAACCTTGAAGCAGGAAAGGATTTGTAAGATTTAAGTGAAAATCATGACCAGTTCTTATGACAGATCGAGCTGACGGCGAAATTTTGCTACGTACAGTGAGGAAGTCGAGAAGGACGATACAGGATTACTGAAGATAGAGTTTTGAGCGCACATTTTCAGAAGTCTTCACCCAGCAGTGTGCAGTGAAATACGAGAATAAAAAATTTAATTCAGGGTAACTTCCGCATAAATAGCTATATAATTCACAGTATTACTGGTAGTAATCTGTATTGTTTATAAGTACCAATGCACGTTCCCATGTTGCGGATAGGAAAACGACCTCCGGACATAGAGGTTAGCTGCAACAAACAAGCAGTCGCGGATAGGCAATGATTGGACCACCAGGATGTGGCTGGGTTCGATCTGGACAAGTTCGTTCTTTAGAAAAGTATCATAATGTCCAATGACAGTCTCATAAAGTGGCGATGAAAAACTGGACGGAATTTGGGGACCCGTCTGCACAAGATCTTCATGGCTGCCGTCAGCCCTCTGACAATGCAGTGTGCTGTAGGTGATTCCTCTCCAAATACCGACTGGTCCTAATGATTCAGGATTTAAGAATGATGAACAATTTAATGTTTTGAATCTCCTGTTGAAGTAATGATCTGGAAGCTGTGCAAGAGCTCGCTCCGATAAGCTGAGACGGTGGTACCGTAAGCCACTCGTCAGCGATATCTTTCCATGACCAAAGCCATACAGCATGCTCTATTTTTTGAATCCGTTGGACTGGATGATGATGTGAAAGTCGTCGGCAGTTGTTTATGAGGATTAGTTACTTGAATGGAAACTGGGGAATAATTATTCCCCCAAAAATGCTAAAGAAGAAATAAGATTAGTCAAGCGTCTACTGGAGTCCATGACAAAGCGCAACGAGAACAATTCAGAGGAAAGAGGAATGTTTCCTAATATTGTTTACTTTGTTACGTTACTACGTTCCATTACTACGTTTGTTAACTAACAAAATTTAAAATGATCTAATTTAATTTATAGTGTTCCTGAGATATCAACAGTACCCTTGAATTATGGGGCCATATTCTATTGAAATAGCTGCAGCTTTCTAATTTGTCATTCTTTTCAGGCTTCGTAATATATGAAAGCTCTATCCATATAAACTCGTATAAAACACCGCGTAAAGCCGCAAAAAGGTTTTGGCTTAAAATTGTCCGTCAGTGTCGATTCAGAGGATTAAAAATCGATTATGTTCGAATTATGATCAGGAATGAGGTTGGATTCGATTTACGTCTAAAACGAACGCTGCCAAAAGGGATTAGGACTGAATTGAGACTTTCGTTTCATGCCTCAGCTTAAGTGAATTATTACGATTAAACTGAACAAGGATTTGGATTAAATTTAAACCGGCTTTCGCAGAAACTTAATAGTAAACTATGCATTCTTCAATAATTGACATTTTATTTAAAAACAGAGGGCTCATTCTCTTCATACTTCAGTAAGTTATTTTAAGTCATAAAAAGTGTATTCGTGGAAGCTACGTTAAATGCCTATCTGCTGATATTATTGACGATGGCACACAAGGAACTTACGATCGCGCATGAAGTCGAGGAAATAGGAAATTCTTTGCTCAAGGAAACTTTAATATTGCTTCCAAGCATCTGATAGAACACGTTGGAAGCTATATCATGGTAAATACGAGGTTCGACTCTTGGTCAGGCAGATGAGTAGTATTTTGCGGGAAGGAAATACAGGGTGCACGCTGTACTTGCTACATAACTGTCGCTTTGGCCTTTAAAATGAGACCGTTTTTGTGAATAGCATAGAAGCCTGTATCAGCACAGCGGCGTTCAGCTTCTTCAGATAAAGGATGCCATTAATGCCCCCCCCCACTTATTAAAGTGTAAAGATGACAGACATTTAGACACTCCAGTCATTATGGAGATTGTGCGGCGAAGTTAAATAACATCCTATGCGTTCCTTCTCAAGAACTTAGAACCACCAAATATGTACATGATTACAGCGTTTGAAACGGTATATCCTTGTCGCACGACGACGTCTTCGCTTCATGTTAAGATGTACTAAAAACAAATTGTTCTTATTGCGTTTCTTACCAGCTATCCATTCCTGTTGGTTTAACTTGTCACGGGTGGCAAAGACGTACGTTCGGTTAGCTGCTTTTACAATGAACTTGAACAGAGGCTTGTTCGAATCACATGGTTCTTCCTGAAATCTTAAGTCCAGATCACATGGTGTAAAAAAGTCCAGTATATGCATGTATTTCATAAGGCGAAATGTCAAAGTTCAATGCCACGGCAGTGGTAATTCTAGAAATGAATGCGTAAGACAAAATATAAGGTTAAATATGTGGCTGCTAGCAGCGCTTATTTCACAGCAGCGGTTGAAACGCAAAATAGTAAGATGTAATAAGCATGTAAACACAAATTAATAACCTTATATAAATTTGAATTTTAGACATTTAAAACTGATTGTTTCTCAAAGCTGTGTTATCCTAGGGGTCACAGCTTCTTTAATCTTGAGACCTTCAATGCGAAATACGTTTTGTGTAATTTTGTTGTTGACTAAGTGCCCATAGTTTACCCATCCCCAATGACATTTAAAGAGCCGACAATCAGCGGATACCTCACAAGACATCGAAAATATAAATTCACAAGCCAGCAGACGCATTATTCGTTACATTGTCGTATGACTTTTAGGTTAATCTAGTCAACAAAATAATGGAAATGCATCTGCACAGCGCAACTTCTAAACTACGACGGATTTTTGGCCCGGTTCAATGGTAGCTAACATGTCTAAGACAGTGAAGCAGTTTTAAGTAATGCAGATCGGTAATTATCATGGCTTTATTCATATACTTCTGAACGTATGGAGTTATGCGGGACCATCTATTAGCGGTTGTGTTCAGTCAGTGCACGACAGCCGCAAATTTCAAAAAAATGGATGTCACAACGTAACAGAAGCCATATCTTTACTGTTTAACATGTATTTATCTCTATATACTTCGTTACATAAGTAACGTTAAATTCAATGTCGTACGGTATTATTCAGGTATCATCCCATGCAACATGTTGTATCGTAAACATTTTACAACAAACGATATGTTTGAAAACGGTTGTTTACCAAATGAATTGTAAATTATCTAAAGGCTTGCATAGGAGGGACGTATTGTGCAAAATTCGATTAAAGGAACATTTGATAAATTTCGAGGATTCACTTAAGGAACGTCCTGAAAAGAAAACCTACATATTGTTGATAGAAGGTACACGAAGATCTTACACCGCGCCAATTCTCTCATGATACATGGAGCTGTCTGCATTGAAGCATTTGGTGCAGTTTATATGAAAATACTTCAACTTCAAAGATCTTTCAAATAGTTCGAATCTCATCCTCAATAATTAAGTTTCTACTATTCATTCTTCGTCTACTCATTTCTTTTCCCCTTCTCGCTCATCTCTTGTTTTTACCCCTTTTTATATATCACTTATTTCACCTGTTTTCCTTTTTTGTTATTTCTTCGTTATAATATGTTTTAAATCTTCACTGTACATTACTAATTTTTGCCGAAGAAGAAACACCGTGGTGGGCTCCGGAAGCTTCACTCAAATAGATATTTATTTTTCAATGCTTCTAACAACTTCTGCCTTCATATATATCACTAACAGTCTAGTAATGCCTTTGGGAACAGGTTTTAAGACATTCCAAATTGTACCAAACAGATCTTCAAAGAGTAAAATAGCGTGGCAAAGAATCTAATAGAGTTGTGCCTGAAGGTTAGCTTTAAAAAAAAGCAGAACAAAGACTGTCTAAATGCAGATGAAAAAATGAGACGAAAAAGCAAAGAAAATCCTTACAATATCACACTGCAAGTAATATCACTGTTATGGTTCAAAGCTGCGTCCATGAGTTTGTCGTAAACGAAAATGTAATAGTGAAAGAAATTATGTTCAAAAAATATGAGTGACATGAAGGGAAATCAAGGAAGCATTTACAAAACTGTTCACTATCTAAGCCCTAAATCGCTCAAGCTAACTGCTACGAGCTCAAGAAAGCGATTGCAAGTCACCGTCCGGAAACCTCTGGTTTCTGTCCATGCCACGGAAAATCACCACTGACCTGTGGAGTAGAGTGTCACCGTAATCGTTCAGCGGATATGGAGGGTCAAATTGCCGAAAGCAAGGTGTTGGGCGGCCATGATGCATACAGCAGTAGGAGCGGCACACGCATTACGCCTGGGCTAAAATGTGCTAAATATCACTTTCGATAATCAGTTCCAAGTCACTGAAGGTGCATTTCAGCCCTAAAAGGAGTTCAGTCTGATCACATGTGAACACCATGCTGTTCCCCCATAAACCAGCGATTTTCAACCCTTCTCTCAGTTGTTTAAACTCAAACAACGTTAGTTGAATTGCTTGCTCAAGGATATTAGCTGTTAAAAGGAACTTTTATTTTCAAGATTGGAGCCCAGTAAATCCCGAGTTTAAAGTCGAACTCGTAGTGCTGTTCCACCGCCTTCATAGATCATTAATCTAGGCACTCGGTTCCTGACTGATACCCAAGTTGAGGATGACAACAACCACCGCCCTCAGAAAAAGGTTTCATTGATATTGCATTATAACGTAACAGGTTTGGCACTGACTATTCAGCTTGCATTAGTCCAGCTCGTGGTTTGTTCTGATGACGTTCAGTGTTGTCTGACAGAAGCGTTGGTGGTGAAACAAAAGAAGTAAATAAACGTCATATCAAGTCATCGAATTGTTACTTGTGAGACAACAACAGACAAGGATTATGACTTTTTCGGCATTCAGGGTACTCTGTTATTTGCTGAAAATACCTTACGCATTCTAAGAATCATGTTATATAACGCAAGGTTACGAAGTACGTGATAAAAACAGTATATTACGAAGTAGGAAGCTAAGGCTCTAAATGAAACAATCATACTTGTTTATAAAAATAAAACAGTAATGCACAGAGATAATAGTGTTGTGAAAACAATGCTGATTCCTGGAAGAAGATCGGTCAAGTGTTGGAGTCGAATTTTCAGAGGCAAACAAGGTATTCTGGCAGATCATCCGCCGCCTCCAAGGTGAAATAAAGCAGTCTAAAAGTCCTGAAGGAAAAGCCTGGACACCTTCTTACTGGGGATGAGGACATTCTTCGGTGGTAGAGAGTACTTTCAGGAAATCCTTGATCTTGATCAACCATAGGAATGCTAGCCTCCAGAGCAGCAGAAAACAAATATTGGTCTCTCAGTAGATGAAAGCACACAAGATGTAAAAGCTTGAAAACTAGAATGATTGCCGAAATCGATGAAATTCACCCTAAATGCGTAAAGCCTTATGGAAACATGGCATGTGTTGACATATACATGTTTGTCAAACTGCAATGGCTACGGGGAAAACCACAGGGGTTGTCGTAGCCTTGTTCAAGAAGGCAGACCCTCCGCAGTGCTCCAATTATTTGGACATTACCTTACTAAGAATTCCGGGTAACGCCTACACAAGGGGTTTAGAAAGGAGGCACCGCGGAATAACTGACTCTAAAATACAGTAAAATCAGTGGCTTTAAGTCTTTTCGAAACACTTTTGACCACATTTGTCTTATGTCAGATTGTTGAGAAATCATGGGAGTTTGTTTTCGGAGTTTGCTGTGTTTGCTTCGTTGACCTAGAGAAAGCCTGTGGCCGGATCCCGGACAACAGTGTATGGGAATGCCTGATAGCAAGTACTTCGACAGAGTAAATGGCGTTAAGTCGAAGCCTTTCAACGTTGGCACTGGTATCCCCCAAGCCTGCGTCCTGTACTCTCTCCTGATTTTGTTGTACACGGGCAGAATAGTCAGGAGCAGCCAAGGCGATGAGTGTATCGGTGTAGGAGTTGTGGCGAGGAGAAGGTACCTGTTTGCAGACGACTTTGTTTTATTAGCATCTTCTGATCTTCAGTGCTCCGTAGAAACTGATCTACAGTACTCCCTAGAAAGGTTCGCAGCCGAGTGCGACGTGATCGGCATGCGTGTGAACGCATCTAAAACGAAAAGCCTAGTGCTTTCTCGCAGCCGAGTGCGACGTGACCGGCATGCGTGTGAACGCATCTAAAACGAAAAGCCTAGTGCTTTCTCGAGCGCGTTGCTCTCTTCAGACTAACGGAGAGGCAGTGGAGCAGGTGGAGAAGTTCAAGTACCTCGGAATTGTATTTACTAGTAATGGAAAATTGGAGGAAGAGATGGACCGGCGAATTGGAGTAGGAATTGGACTCAATGGCGTTCTGAGTGACTAGCCTGAACCATTATGATTAAATCAGAGCTGATTCTGAAGACTAAACTGCCTGCATTCAACTTGATCGTCATTTCCATGCTCAGCTACTATCATGGGTCGTACACCATGACTGAAAAACTTCGATCCCGGGTACAAGCGGCTTTAATGGGTTTTTCTGAGATGAGTCGCTGGCCTTACGCGTTTCCACATAGTCCAAAATACAGTCATCAGCGAAAGCCTTGGTGTACAGCCGCTGCTTCTTTAGACTGCGAAGTCACACTTGCGACTGTTTGGATGCGTGTTGTGAATTCCTGCAGAAAGGTAGGCGAATCAACTTCTACTTACTCAGCCGACCGGCAAAAGACCGAGGGGACGGACAAGACTAACTTAGGCCAAGTGTATTGAAGGACTCTCCTCTAGACGCCGGTTATCTTCTGCCGAACCTCAAACACAGGCACAGTTTCGGGAACGTTGGAAGTACTGTCTGAAGCGTCTGTCTCCGCGACTCGAACGGAAATCCGGTCATAGAAACTAAATTGAATTATACAAGGTTGATTAACATCTGTTGACTCACGAGGTTTGTAGCATAAATGACTGTTTAACTGACACATATTTATCGTGTTAAATTCAACAAAATATTTAAAGCATTACCTTCACATAGGAAAGCTTGTTTAACATGCATTCTTTGATCAGCACGTTCGGTTTGAAAGCGCTCTGCAATTCCAGGCGTCCAGGATTAACGACACCCCAGTAAATATCCCATGAGAAGGTTCTTCTGGACTGTTTTAAAAGGTAGCCCTAAAATGTACAGATTAGGAGAAAAAATTCTCTAACAAAAAAGATCAGCGTTCATTTCAGATAGTCTCTGTTCGTAAAGAATGCTGGATAACAAATGCTGGCTACATCCCATTGTCACTCTGATGAACATGTAATGTGAGCTCATAACTACCATCGAACTAAAAGACCACAAATTACGAAAGGCAAGGAATACAGCACCGTTTAGAACGTATTAATGAATTTCTTTTCCCAATCCGGCGCCTAAACACAATGGAAACCGAATCACTGAACAAATACAATTATAGCACCTTTCGAGACCGTCGTGAAATCGAGTGTGTAGATCAGGCCACAGGCTAACTATGCCTCTGCATTCTGTACCGTCACAGAAAACAAGGCTTTTAGTACCTACGCCGAGATTGTGATTAATCTGGACCGCTGATAGTATTCTTGATGTATGCTAGTGGCACGATCTTCGTTGGTCTTTTGACGAGGAATATCTGAGCCTGATGAGGTGTATATCAGGTGCAAAAGTAGAATCAGTTGTGACAAAGTTTCGAACGCTCAATAATCACTTGTTGGCCACTGCAGAAATAAACTGACTGATTGATTTGACATAACCGGCTTATTTACACTGCATATCATCAAAGCATTTCACAGTTCAATAATTAACGTTGAAAACCAATGAGACAAACCAGTCACAAATAAGTCACTACACGGTACAAAGGAACAAGTACAGGACTTATTAAAGAAATTGCCTCACCCTAGAGCTGTAAGCGAAATTCTACATTCAGCTGTTGGTTTCCTATGGAACGTTTACGGCCTTTGATGATTTCTGGAGAAAAACTGTACTATCCTACGTCCAGTCGTTCAACTGCTCTTATGCATCGCTGAAATCAGTTTGAAAGAAACTCTATGTAGGTCATAAGAACGATCACAGCGAAACCTAAAGATTATATCAGTTCTAGCTCAAGACTG